AATCACAGCACCACCACATCCAGCCGGTCAGCCAATAGCAACCCACCCTCGCAGCTGAATGGCTGGTTTTCAGATGGGTGGGGCTTATGCACCGACCACACCCATATGGGTGGGGCAGGGCGGAGCTTTCCCCACAGCTGGGGGCAGCGGAGGAGTCTCCTGCCACAGCTGGATCCAGAGCATCCCCATCCCTGTCCCCATCCCCGTCCCTGTCCCCGTCCCTGTCCGGGTTGGACCACCATCCCAGTCCCCACCATGCCCCCGCCCCGTCCCCACCCTTGTCCCCATCCCGATTCCTGTCCCCTCCCCATCCCCACTGTCCTGTTCCCTGTCCCCACCCTTATCCTGGTCCGACTGCCATCCCTCTCCCATCCCATCCCTGTCATCCCCACCGCGTCCTCATCCCCATCCCTATCCTGGTCTAACTGCCATCCCCATCCCGTCCTCATCCCGTCCCCATCCCTATCCCCGTCCCCGCTGCATCCTTTTCCCAATCCCTGTCCCGGTCTGACCGCCGTCCCCGTCCCCGCTCACAGGTGCAGCACAGCCCTTGCTTGCGCAGCCCCACCAGCAGCGTCTCGCACACGTTGCAGTACACGGGGCGGTTGAAGTGCTTCAGGCGCCACATGTGCTGCCCGTCGTCCTTCATGTGCTGGGGGACGGACGGACAGACGGACACGGACACAATTAGGGGGGCCCCAGCCAGGCAGAGGGGGGTGGGGGCCCGGTGCGGCGGCACCCGGGTACTCACCACCTCCAAGCCCAGCAGCACCAGCAGCGGGATGTTGGTGACCCCCCCGCGGAGCCACTCAGCCAGCGACACCGTCCCGCTGCCATCGTAGTCGATCTCCCGCATCATCTCCTGCAGGATCTGGGGGGACACGGGGCTTCAGCAGAGGTGGGGGGACACAAGGACGGCCCCCTGCCCATCCCAGCATCCCGGCCCCGCTCACTGGCTTCAGCTCCGTGACGTCCCAGTCCAGGTACTGGGCCACCCGCATCATCTGGGTGATGATCCGATCCACCTCCTGGGGGGAGAGTGTCAGCGCGGGGGGGGGCTCAGTCACAGCCCCCCCTGCCCAGTGCTCACCGAGCTGTCCAGGAGCCCGTTCCCGTCCTTGTCGTACAGCTTGAAGGTGACTGCGGGGGGACACAGCAGTGTGAGGTAACCCTGGCAGGTCCCTGGGGACCCCTGAGCTGCCCTCCCCCACCTGGGGGGACCCCCCAGCTCACACTCCAGCTTGTCCTCAGGGCGTCCCCCCTCCAGCAGCGAGAAGTAGCAGGAGACATCGTTAATGCAGACGAGGTCGCTGCCTGCATGGAGAGACCGTGATGAGACCCCGGGGGTCCCCTGGCCCCCCCCACCCCCCTGCACCTCACCGGC